TTCAGTTTTTCCTTGGTTTAGCTTTGAACTCTCAAGAAGTGGTTCACTGATCTGTCTTCTCAGCGGTCACCCATCGGGAAAGCGTACTTTCGGTATGAGTCTTGGGCTTCTCTTGTGGTTTACTTGTTCCACTAGGTTACAGTGCGTGACCGATATCATGAAATGTTGGCTGAAATTCTGATATGCGTTTTCGATTAGGATGGATTAATAACGCGGCGTTGTAATATTAATCATCTTGTGGCATAATCTTCTAAAATTTAAGACGGCTTTTGACTGCACCTTTTTCTGACTCCCTGCAAAAACGACGTTCGGCAGAAAATGACTACTTACTTCGCATGCATTTTTCGCAATGATTTTCGATGGTCAGTATCAGTATCAGTATATTTCAGGGAAAGTAGGTGTGTACCTTTGAAATCCCTATTGGTTACATGCAGAGGAAATATATGGAGGAAATGGAAAGGAAGTAGCATGAAAAAAAATGTGAAAGGAATAGCAAAAAATGCACAGATGAACACACAATGTCATGCGTTAACAGAGTTTAGAGGCACATTAACTTGCTTTGTTGATAAAATACAGCGGACAGTTGAAGCACACTTAAGATACGGGAAATAAACAAAATTGTTTAGTCGACGGGCATCGTTGTGAATGCGAGCAGCGGTGTGCAACGTGGTCCAAACTAGTAAATTACATTAACATATGCTGCTTAAATGTTGAAAGTAGCATTGTTATAATACTAAATCTTCAGCGTTGGCTGTAAAGGTGACCGCAGTCCGGCGCTATTGTGGTGCGCGCTACAATGCTGATCTAGTCTCCATTTAAAAGTATCTACCGAGCCCGACATAACAACATCCTCGGGCAAGGCATTCCAAGCTGCAACCACTCCTGGAGAAGAAGAACTTTCGTGTGTCTAGCCGGGCACCAGTCACACGCAGTTTGAGTGGATGGCCTCTCAGGTTAGTCGTAGTCGCCAACTCGAAGAAGTCTCCTGATGCGAGGCAGCAGCCCTGATTGCGCACGATGCGGAAAGCTTGTATCAGGTCCCCACGTAGCTGTCTGTAACTCAAAGGAAAGAGGGCAAGATTAGCTAATCGTGTTTCGTAGGGTAGTAACCACTGCCCAGATACAAGTTTCGTTGCTCGCCGTTGAACTTTTTCAAGTATGCCGAAGTCTTTAACTGTCCAGCGTCTCCATGCTTGGATAGCAAACTCCAGATGCGGTCGCACGAAGGTTTGAAAGACCATGGCGAAACAGTCTTCATCAAAGGAGGAGAACGCCCGTTTGACGAGGTATAGAATGGACATCGCCGACTTGGCCACCTTTGAACATTGCAGCGAAGGCTTAAACGAGGTTGTGATCCATACATCCAAGTCCTTCTGGGCGTGTACTTCTTGCAGTGGTTTGCCAGTCAGACGGTAGACCGTGTGGTTAGGAGAACTGGTTCTGTCGACGCGTAGGAAATTACACTTGTTTACGTTGAACGGTAGAAGCCAGTCATTCGACCATTTCTCGAGGTGGTACAAATTTGTCTGCAGTCGCGCCTCATAAACTTCGCTTCGTATGGTACTCCAGATCTTTATGTCATCGGCAAACATTGCGACATCGCAATTCAGTTCGTTTGCGCAGTCATTGACGTATATGAGGAACAGTGTAGGGCCAAGAACAGAGCCTTGGGGAACACCCCTCCTAACGGCAACCTCGGCAGATTGCTGGTCACCGACGTGGACGGCTTGAGAGCGGCCGATTAAAAAGCTCCGAATCTACATCAGAAGCTTACCTCGTTTTCCTGCACGGCTAAATTTGTAAAGAAGGCGGTGGTGAGGCACACTATCGAAGGCCTTTTTAAAGTCGATATAGATGACGTGCACCATGTCTCCTCTATCAACAGCCCTAGTCCAGTGTTCCAGACAGTAGAGCAGGTTTGTCACTCAGGATCTGCTTTTGCGGAATCCATGCTGAGAATCGGAAAGCAAATGGTTTTGTTCAAGGAACTGCATTATTTGTTGCTTTATTATCTTCTCCATAATCTTACAGCAAATGGAGGTGATGCTGACAGGTCTGTAATTGTTCGCAGAGACCCGACTTCCGCCCTTGTACAGCGGCGTAATCCACGCCGACTTCCAGTCGGGTGGCAGATATCCGGTTTCGAAGGATGTATGGAAAAGCATGAAGAGTGGCTTAGACAATTCACTGGCGAGTTCATTCAAAATCTTTGCCGGAATCTCATCGGGACCTGGTGATTTGGATTCCTTTAGTCTCAGCAACTCCGTCAGAACCATACCCTCAGTGAACTGGAAGGTCTCTATAATTGGGGTGTCTTCGAAGGACTGAGGGGCCGAAGGAACAGTGTAGGGCCAAGAACAGAGCCTTGGGGAACACCCCTCCTAACGGCAACCTCGGCAGATTGCTGGTCACTGGCGTGGACGGCTTGACAGCGGCCGATTAAAAAGCTCCGAATCTACATCAGAAGCTTACCTCGCACTCCTGCACGGCTAAATTTGTAAAGAAGGCGGTGGTGAGGCACACTATCGAAGGCCTTTTTAAAGTCGATATAGATGGCGTGCACCATGTCTCCTCTATCAACAGCCCTAGTCCAGTGTTCCAGACAGTAGAGCAGGTTTTAGATCAGATCAGATTTATTAAGGGAAAAGTAGGCGAGCGCCTTTGAACTCCCTTTTGGTTACAATAACGTCATAAAAAAAACAATGCGTAAGGCAAGTGTGAAAAAAATAGGTAAGTAATTATATACAACAAGCATTGGTCACTGGTATGAATTTGTCTGTGAATGCCTTCTATGTCAAAATTGTACAATATCCAGTACGGCAATGAATGGACCAAGTAATATCAAAGCAAGCGCATATGTGGCAGTCAGGAGATAGCTAAAATTGTAAAACGTAATGTTACTAAAATATAGGGAGTAGCACGCTTTGTAACATAAAACGTTGGATGGGGCGGGTGCCACAGGGGGGAATTCGCTAGTTTCTGATGCTGTGGAGGTACAGTACCTGTGCTAACTCATGAAGTGTCACGAATTAACACAGGTTAACGACTTTAACGCAAAATCGGTAAACACTACGGTTCCCAAAGTCTAATAGCGGAAAATAAACGATGTGTCAAAGAAATAAAGCAAAGTTTGGTTAAAAAAAATATTATTTACTGAGATAAAAATAAATAATTTTCGACAAAAGTCACATTTTCGAGAAACGCCTATATTACAACCAAGTTAATAAAGGCTACGCATGAGGACGTATAAAGGAGGAGGCGCATTAAAGGTCAAAAATAATCAAGGACAGAAACAGATACAAAAAATTAGTACTTTGTAGATTGTCCATTCGAATTAATAACAGCAGAAAGTCTGTCCGACATAGACATGACAAGGTTATCTATGGTGGATTGT